GGCACATTTCAGATTTGCCTATTGGACTTGCCACATTTTAAATGTCCAGTAGCCACTGGTGGCTGGTGGCTACTGTATTGACCAGCACAGGGTATCCTTCAATTGCTAAAAAAAGCCTAAACTGGATGATCTTTAAAAGAAAGTCCCAGCCGGCTAGATAGGTCTTTGAATCTGAAGCTGTGGACAGCGCAAACACCACTTTATTTGCAGTGAAAGTGGAGGAGGGGTTATGGGGGGAGTGGGGATGCTGTAGGATAGGACTTTTCTGCCTCCACTGTTGCTGTCAGCTGCAGACTCCTGGGTACCCCAAAACAAAGCCCTGCCGGGTCCTGCACCATCCCCATGATTGGTTGCGGATTGGACCATTGTGATCCATTGGGAAGTAGATCACCAGGCCTTTCTTCCTAGTCCTTCTTAGTGTGGAAGCTTCACTGAAACCTGCTGAACAGCATAGCAACACACATGCCTCCACTGACAGACGGGTGGTGGCTGTGCACGAGGTACCCTGACACGAATTCTACTACTGAACGACCAGGAACCTATAGGAAAACCCTAGCGCACCTAGGATTGGTGGGAAGCCCTCAGGACTAGATGGAATGGGAGAAGGAGTGTTGTTTTTGCGCAGGGGCTGGGGCCGCGTGCAGGGCTGTGCTAGTTCCATGCAGCGCAGTAGTACACCCCCTCGTCACTCTTCTCCAGCTTCAGCACCGAGAAGGTGCAGCTATTGCCGTCCTGCGACTCCAGGGCTGTGATTTTATCCGCTTTCAAAATCGAGTCCCACCGCACATCTGGTTTGAACATGGCCAGTTGGAGGAGCCTCTCGGGGGCCTTGCCCTCCTGCTGCCGGTACCAGTGGACATAGCTGACTGTGAAGTGGACCAAGCACCGCAAGGTGACCGACCTGCCCTTGCGCCCCAGGACATAAGCCGGCTGCTCCGGCCTGATGACAGACCCGCCAGCTGCAAGGTAGACATCGGTGAGGCAGGGGTGGCAGGAAGCCACACAGCCTCTCCCCAGATGGCACTGTGGAAGGAGTGGAAGACTTACCGGGAAATAGGAGGACCAAGACGAAAGCAAAGCGGCCGAGCATGGCGCTGCCTCTGGACCAAACTGCCTTAACAAGGGTGGAGGAGGACAGACGTGCTCACCTTCTGGGTGGTAGAGGGCAGGTCATAGCCCGTGTGGCTGCTTCCCCAGTATGCAAACAGGCGACGTGAGAGATGGGTGAGGAGAGGAAGGGGCCTGAGAGCAAGGGGCAGAAATGTGACCACAAG